CTCGCTTTGCTTCCCGGGCACGGGTCGGCGTGTGCCTTTGGGCCCGGCGCGGCCTGGGTGCGAGGAGGCTGCTCTGTGTGCCGCCCGGAGCCGGCCCGGCCGTGCTCGCTGCGCGCAGGCCCGAGCTCCGCGTCCCGCTGTGCCTGGTGTGCGGGGCTGGCGTTCGCCTTCGTCTTTGTGCTCCAGCGTGCTGGGGCGTCCAGTGCTTCAGCGTTGTAGGAGCGAGGTGATAGCCTGGCAGGGCGGGCATGCATTCTTAAGCACTTAAATAAAGGTGAGGATACATGTATTTATCGCTGTGTGCCAAGACGCAGCTGTGGGATGTGGCAGAACCGTTGCAGAAGCTTCGGGAGAGGCTGAGGAAGGGGAGCCTTGGAGGGCGTCAGTGCTGGAGGGGCTGCGCAGCCTGGGAAGTGCAGGGAAACTGTCACCGGTGCGGCGGTGGGAGGGCCGGGTTTCTGCAGAAGTGAGCTGTGCTGCCCAAAATACATGTAAAAGTATGTGAGAGATGCCTCGTTTGTAGAGGAAGTTAATATCTATGGAAATTTTATGTTTGATTAACGAATAAACACTTTTGATGGATGTGCTCTGAGTTAGGTGGTCCTTACAGAAGCTCACTTAAGCTTGCTCTGTCGGGGCTGAGAGGGGCAAGCTGTTCTTAATACCACTGTTGTATTCCAGTCTGTTTCCCATTCAATCTTCTTCTCTTGGTTGTGTTGATAAATGCAGACAGCAAGATGTAATAAAGCAAAACAGTTTGCCATAAAATGTCCCCTGGAGAAAAGCAGTTTATTTTTTCTCCTTGTGTCAGTTTGTGCTTATGACATGAAATGGATAACTGGAAGGTGTTCAAGAGCATGTCAGAGTTTCCTACTCTTTTTTTTCTTTTTTTTTTTTCTTCCTGAATTGTAATTTTCAAGTAGTTTTCAGTAGTATCACCCAAACTATACTGTTCGGTGGTAGCTGCATTCAGCTGTCCTTGTTGTTCTGGCGATGTCAGGTTTCTCATTTGAGGTAAGGGCAGCTCATAGCTGAGGATGGAACCTGCTCTGCTCTTGCATGGCACACTGGCAGGTCTTGATGACTTTTAACCTCTTGCTTCTTGGGCAGCAGTTGGTTCTGTTCATGGTTACTTTAATTTTGTAATCTCTGAAATACCTTGCCTTGCTGAGGGGAAGCTTTGTTAAATGTGAAATGCTGCAGGTGAACTGCTTAGCAAGCTGGTGCCAGAGCAGACAGGGCCTGCTTGTGGAAGAGGTGTAGTAGGATTGTAGGAATAACCTGGGAAGAGGAGTTTAAAGGCTGCCTCATCTTGGGCAACCTATGGAAAAACTTCCTTTGTAGTCCAAATGGGATCTGTTGGGTAACTTTGCTGTGGATTCTGAGTTTTTATCCATCTGAATTATTATCCACATAATAAAACAATTGTTGGACAGTAACTAGAAAGGTTCAGTTTAATATGGTAGAGTTGTCTTTCCAGATATGTATATTTTAAATAGTTCTCATGTTGCAGTTTTCCAGATGGTAACACTGAACACTTGAGAAGTTTTTGGCTAGACTTTAAAACTGGAGTTGCTACTAATCTGGAAGGAGGGACTACCATAAAGGGAAGACTGGGAGAAAGTAAAACACCTTGGTAAAATCTGGATGGAGGTATCGTTTGGTCTAATAACATGCTGGTATTTTGTTAGGATCTTGGCTGTTTTCAGGTGTCACTGCTACAATGTCATAATGTAGTACAAAATTTACAACATTATTAGTAATTTGATTACTCAGGTTTGTGAGTGGATTCATTAATTATGACACTTTTTGGCACTTAGTGTGGGAATTAATTTGGTATTCTGGTTAGTAATAAATTGTTTTCCTTTCTTTCTCTGTAGGCTGCAGAAACTGCTAGCTTGGAGGAGCAGTTGCAGGGATGGGGAGAAGTGATTTTGATAACGGACAAAGTTCTTCGCTGGGAGAGAGCCTGGTTTCCTCTGGCACTGATGAGTGTTGTTTCCTTTTCTTTTCTGTAAGTAGCTTGTGGAGGGAGCCTTGAACACAAGTGCACTTCCATGGTGGGTAGCAAACCTATTCAGTGAATTGGTAAGGTATGTTTAAAAATCTAATAGGACGGCCCTTACTCCATGTTCAGTTTCTGAATGCCTGTGACCTTTGTTTTGAAAACAAAAACCTGAAGTATTGAGAACAGGAAGTCACAGGAGTCACATCCTGCCCAGAGTGGAGGGTTGCTGCAAAAGCTGTTTGTCAGCACTCCTTTCTGTAAGGTTTTTACTATGCTCAGTTCTGTTCTTTGTTGGTGTGTTCATAGTCTGCCCTCATCCTTTGTATCCTGCTTCTCAGTTAAATCTGGTTAATTTACTTTGACTGTTTTCCCCAAAGAAGCATCCATATGGAAAATAACATCAGTAACATCATTATGAAAAATTAGTTTCCATAGGGCAGACTTTCCCAATCTGCATCTCTAGCATGGTGTTTAGTATGAGTTCAGTTGGTTTTCATAGAATCATAGAACCATTCTGGTTGGAAAAGACCCTTAGGATCACCAAGTCCAACCACCATCCCTACTCTACCAAGTTCTCTTCTAAACCAGATCCACCAACACCACATCCAAATGACCCTTCAACACATCCAGGGATGGTGACTCCACCACCTCCCTGGGCAGCCTGTTCCAGTGTCCAGCCGCTCTTGCTGTGAATCTTTTTTTCCTACTGTCCAGTCTAAACCTGCCCTGTTGCAGCTTGAAGCCATTCCCTCTTGTTCTATTGCTAATTACCTGTGAGAAGGGACCTGCACCAACCTCTCAACAATGACCTTTCAGGTAGTTGTAGAGACTGATGAGGTCTCCCCTCAGCCTCCTCTTTCTCAAACTAAACATTCCCAGCTCCTTCAAGCCTTTTTCATAAGATTGATTCTCTAGGCCCTTCACCAGCTTTGTTGCCCTCCTCTGTACTCGCTCCAGCACCTCGATATCTCTCTTGAATTGAGGTCCCCAAAACTGGACACAATGCTCCAGGTGTGCCTCACCAGTGCCGAGTACAGGGGTACAATCACCTCTCTAGAATTTAGCAGTCTGAGCATCCAGAAGTAATTTGTTATCTTCTTTCTGCAGGATGATCTACTACTTGGACCCATCAGTTCTTTCAGGTGTTTCCTGTTTCGTTATGTTCCTCTGTTTGGCTGATTACCTTGTTCCTGCTCTTGCACCTAGAATCTTTGGCTCGAACAAATGGTGAGGAAAGCTTGAATTAAACATTTTGAGTGTTAACAAATTATGAACTTTATCAAAGTGGATATCTGACTTGCAAGTATCAAATGATTACTTTATGGAGTCGTTGACATAAGAAATCAGCAATCTCTAATGTAGGAAGTGAGGGCAGTAGTAAGATGTCCTGCTTTCTTTTTTTCTGAAATGACTACAACACATCTTTTTTTATTCCTTCTCTTCTAGAAAACTACGATAATTTTGTTTGCAAAGGATTAGGCACATTCTTAGCTGTCCATAAGGATGCTAGTTAGTCCTGGTAAACTACTTGTTAGTGATTATTGGGTAATAGATACTGAGAAACTATGAAGAATAATATTGCCTGGTATCAGGTGTGTAGTACTTGTGAGTATCACACTGGTATCAGATTAAAATCAGTGGTCTCCTGGTTTGAATGTGGTTGCTCTTTGAGAGTCAGTTTAGGAGAGTCAGTCTGTGTGCAGAAAAACTACCTGGGCAATTGCATTGCAGTGCTTAATGATGAGGTATAAAAATAAGGGAAGCAAATGCCAGGATAAGTACTGGATAAGTTTTTACTGCTGTAAAAATACCATAGGAGATACTTGAAGTTTCAGATGAAATTTTGAATTCTTAATTCTGCCTTTTTTTCTTTAATAAAAGGACTACAGAACAGCAGCAAAGATTTCATGAGATTTGTGGCAATTTGGTGAAATCTCGTCGCCGACTTGTTGGCTGGTGGAAGCGCCTCTTCACGCTGAAGGAAGAGAAGCCTAAAATGGTATTGTGTTCCAGAAAATTATCTCTCTTGTCTTAGGATCTTGTTTGTTTTGTCTCAAGTATTTTAGCAATGCATGTGTCTGAATAAACTAGTATTTCAAACCAAGACTTAGCAGTTCTGGCTGTGACTTAATACCAGTCCCACAGCTTATTCAGACCTGGAGTGGCAGGATATGTGACTTAAACCTGCAGTGCAGTGCAGTTAGGAGCATACTGCTGTTACTAAGATAAAGCTAAACTGGGTTTCTTTGGGTAGGCCCGTTTTTGGAAACACAGCTTGTTTCTAGTATAGATAAACTGTCCAAACCCCAAAATCTTAGTAATGTGTCAGGTTAGGTAGGTGAACTGCTGATCTTACTGTCCTGAAAACAGTTCCAGGTACTGTATGAGGCTGAAGTGGTGTCAGTGGGGATGGTGTATTCTGACTCTAAGGGATATCTGGACAGAAAAGAACTGGTATCCTGTTAAACTGATGTTCTGAAAATAAATGTAAACATACAGTTGTAGGCTCTGTATTCTCAATTTTAAAAAGCCAGTGCATAGGTGTATTGCATGTGCAAGAGCCAGCAAACTTCAGGTTAGTTTTAAATGTTGGAGTGTTGCTGGGTACTGAAGGGAACAGGAGAATTCCCTACAGATCTGTGGTAACTTTCCCTTTCCATTTTTCAGTACTTCATGACGATGCTTTTTTCTCTTGCTGTGGTTGCCTGGATTGGACAGCAAGTTCACAATCTGTTTCTGACCTATCTCATTGGTAAGTGTGCAGCACACAAAACAGAAGTAGCTTTTTTGCCTGAAATGGTGTGAGCCTGGTAGGAGTAATTATTATATTAATGGGGTATTTTGTTGTCACAGGGTTAGAATTTTCTGTTTTCAAGCACTTAATAGGGCTTAAGGGAAGCAAGGGAATTGCCAAATGACAGAAGCTTGTTAAAGGAGTGTTAAATAATGCTTTTTTTCCTCTCTAGTGAGTTTCTTGTTGCTGTTTCCTGGACTAAACCAGCATGGGATCATTACAAAGTATGTTGGAATGGCGAAAAGGGAGATAAACAAACTTCTCAAGCACAAGGAAAAGAAAAATGAATGAAGACTTAACTACTCTTCACTCTTGTGAAAGGTTTCCTTGGGAACAGTTCTGAGAATTAACATATAATTAATAGAAGTTGTGTTGCTCACTGGCTTTTTTTAATTGGCTCCCTGAGGAAGTGAACGTGTCACTCTAGCAACTGCTACGGGTGGGTTTGTCTCTCTTGCTGTGCTGACTGGGGTTCTGCAGCTGATCCTGTATGAAAGATCCTGTCCTTTGATGTGCAGAGCTTAAGTTTCTTCACCAAACTAAGAAGCCCTGTCAATAAACACCCCAACTCAAACAGCAGAATCGTAATGTGTGGTAGCAATTCTCTAACTGTATTTGTTTCACTGATTGTTCATGTGTGGCTACAGCAAGTAGGAAAGGCAGTTCTGGATGCTTGCACTTGGGGGTTTGTTACTCCTGATCCTGGTGGGATAGGAATGATTATAGCTGAAGGTGCCTACCCAACATTGCTGCAGAAGGTGATTTCATTGTCTCACTGAGTCTGCTGTTTTTTCCCCTGCATGTACCAGATTATCTGTTGAGTAAGAGTCTGGAATATATAAATTTGTATTTCAGTTATTTTGCTGTAGTGTAAACTTCAACTTGTTGCACTGAGACCATTGGGAATGAGTTAAGGTGTGTGTCACCTTAACAGTTGATTGTTCTAAAAACTGCTGTTGTCACGGAGCCATGTAGCATGTTTGATTTCATGAATGTTGTTTGTGTACAAAATCACCTTGAATATGCTGGGTTTGTCTTTGTAAATAAGCCTGTCTGAATTGTTTGTGCTTTTCTATGACCTCTTCCTCCTTTTTTTAAAAACCAAACTGTCTTCTTTACAAAGCTAAAACCTGTGTTAATGCATTTTAAAAGTTTACTGTTTTAAAATGAACTCTCTTCACTGTCTGTTGTAACTGCTGAATAGGTAAATACAACCTAAACAGAAACTTCTCTCGGAGTTGCTCTTTGTGAAGGTACAGTCATGTCTTCTAGTCACGAGGGGAGCTGGGATCAGTGTCAGCACCACGGGATGATCAGTGCACTGATCAGACACCTTTTGTGTGAAGTAGCCACCACAGGGCAGTGACAGCTCCTACTGCTGAGGGAAAAGGCTGGAGGTGAAGAACACAGATAAAACTGGTGGACTGTGGGCAAAGCAGACCCAGCTGGTATAATGTGTGACAGCTGAACTGCAGGAGATGTTGCAGTGAGATGCAGAAGCTGTTCAGGAAAAGCTGTGTGCCTGGCACAGGCTGGGGGAAGGGCTGGGTCCAGGGAGGAGGGGGCGGTGAGTGGCAGTGCAGCTGGGCCAGTGCTGATAGCGCCGCTCCTGGGTTATCTCAAAACCCGGTGGAAACACAACCTGTCTCCTCAGCTCCCTCGTGTCAGTCCCCATGTCGGGGGGTAGGTGGCCCTTTAAACTGCAGCAGAGATCAAATACGCGTGCGGTCTTGTAAAAATGATTGAAGAACAGGAGAACAAGCGCACCCGCTGCAGAGCTGCGGTGCTGTTGCTGTATCGGCTCTGGGGTCTGGTTCTGCCCCGCAACTCTCCGGGAGTTTTATTGGGCAGTGCGAAGCGCGCGCCGCCGGGCCCGAATGCTTTTTGTCCCTCTCGCCCACCCGTACCCTCACCCCATTGCGAAGCGTCCTGGTTGCTATAGGAACCCGCGCGGACGCGTCGCCCCGGAAGTGCGCTTTGCCGCTCGGCCAATGGGGGTGAGCGGGCCTGGCGCGCGGTGCATCCCGACTGGGACGCCAAGTCTCGCGAGAGGACGCGGGGCGCAGCAGCTCGCGCCCAGGGCCTTCCCATAACGCC